GCTATCATTTTGTGTTCGTAAATGTTGAAATATTTCTATTATAATTTCATTCGGAAGATTTATATCATATCTTTTTGATGCTTTACTTTTTACTGTTAACTTTGTATTCTGCTCTTTATCTTGTTGTATTTTTTCAAAATCTGGTAAACTATTTGTAAACAAATTTGGAATTTCTGGGTAAGGCGATTTTCATGTAACAGATATACAATTTTTACTACACAAACTCCTCTTTTCTCGAATTTTAGCTCCCCCATTTCTATGCCTGTTTTGAGATTTACTTGTCCTGCTACTATAAATTCATCCGTATGAATGCGCTTTACTCGATTTCTTAATGGTTTCACAATTTCTGATATTCTTTTTCGTGCAGATGCTAATAAGAATGGTTTTATTCGTAGATGTACTCCATAATTTTGTCCATTTCTTTGTTCGCATAATGCTCCCCATAATGAAACCAATAATACTTTACTTACTTTTCCTGTTGTTCCACCTTCTTTCTTAATGTTGTATAGTATATTATCCCATTTTCCAAACATATCACTTCCAGTAATACGTGTACTTATTTCATATATAATCGCATTTGGAGAATCATTCATTAAATATACTTTTAGACCATTTTTCTTAGTACATTCTAAATCATAATGTGTATAAATCCCATGTGGATTATATCGCAAATATCTTGTACATTGGAGACTTTTCTTCAGTGGATTTCCTTCTATTGTTGCTTTATAAATTCCATATAGAAATTTAGTCCATTTTTCTACTAAAGATACGTCTATAGTATGAAACTTACCTGGTGCAATTGGCCATGATGCTTCTTTCTTTAATATTTCATATATATACATTGAATTTACATCATATTGATTAGCTTCTCCTTCATATTTTTCTGCAAATACTAGAGCGCCGGTTGATGCTAAATTTAGCTAAGCATTTTCTTTTTCGTCTATTTTTTCGCTTCTTTTTGATGCTAAAGTTGTCTCTCAGAAAAGTTTTAAACTCGTTAAAGTATAACTTTCTGATTTCCGCATATCAACCTGCCTATTTGTCTTTTCTGCTATAGCTTCTGATTCTTTGATAATTCTTTTATATGTTTCTATAACTGTTTCAGTATTATCTGCTTTAATAAAATGATATTTGTTATATAATGCGT